CATAGCATTGTGTATGCTAGGTTGTATGTTAGCGCATTGTGTATGCCATGTTACCTCGTGCATCGTGTATGCCATTTCATAGCATTGTGTATGCTAGGTTGCATGTTAGAATTGAATTCATGCATGTCATGCATATTGCATTGTGCTTGGGATAGGAGTTAGCCCGAGCACGGGAAATGAGAGAAAAATAAAAGAGGATAGGAGACACTGTATGGTCGTGTCAGACCATTGGTGAAGACACTGAATGGTGGTGTCATAACGTTGTAGAGGACACTGTATGGGGGTGTCATAACGTTGTAAAGGACACTAGATGGCGGTGTCAGACCGATGTAGAAGACAGTTTATGGGGTCATGTCGGACCGTTGTAGAAGACAGGAGATGGGGTCATGTCGGACCATTGTAAAAGACAGTTTATGGGGTCATGTCGGACCGTTGTAGCAGACAATGTTGTGACAGTTGTTGTGACAGTTTACGGAGTCTTGCTGGACCCTTGTAGAAACTAACCGGAATCAATGTCGGGACAGTTTACAAAGTCGTGTCGGACCCATGAAGGAGCTAACCGGAATCAATGTCGGGACAGTTTACAGAGTCTTGTCGGACCCTTGTAGAAACTAACCGGAAGCTGATATGTTTATGAAGTATCGGATACAGATCTATGAGTATCCACATACGAATACAACAGTCTTCTAGAAGTATATGTGCTTCATAGTTCACATCCACTGGGTTGAGGTTGAACCAAGAAAACAGCATATCCAAGAAAGAAAAGAAGTACTCAAATTACATGTTTAGGACGAAAGAACTGCACACCAAGGGTACAGCAACACAAATTATACCAAGCAACAAACATCTGAATTTAATAAAAGACTTAAAGTTGAGTGCCACATGAAATCTAACAAAGCAGTACAGTAATCTAACTATGGCACCAGACAAAACGAACATATAAAACAGCCAAGTGAAAAATACTATATTTGACCCTAACAAGATTCCAGAGGTCAATATGCAGAAATAACAAGCAGCCAAATGATTACATATCAAAATCCAAGACTGGCCTAGGACCACCATTAGAATTCTCAGGCTCAATCCAGCACTAACCAAATTATTCTTTTTTGTTGACCCTATTAACAAAGGAAATAGTTTAGTAACTTACAGCAACTACAACAGGTATGCAGGTTACTTTTCCTTCACCATTGAAAAAGACCAATTGAGCTGCACAAAAAGTGTTATAGGAAAGCAAGAAAACAGTTAAGGCAAATGAACAGGTCAAAAATAACATCTATAACTACTACAGGAATAACACCAAAAATGATGTCAAATAAATGAATATAGTGTTTTTGAGGCCATATAATAACAGCAAGTTACAATAATACAATATGAAATAACCCCAAGCGCATTAACTTTTGACAATTGTTTCACTTTCTGTATTGTTACATCTCTTCTAACTCCCACATACTACTGTGAGTTCCTTACCCTCCTAGCCATACAGGACCAAATAAAGATACTCCTTACAAGAACACGTCCAATAACATTCTAACATCATTTCCTCTGTTCAAATTTAAAAAATCTTTTTTATAACAAAGACAGCAAGTGAATGCATAACATATAGAAATGATGTAAGGAGTCCAAGTTTCAGTCACGACTTACGCTCAGTGCAACCAAAAAGGTAGACTTTTTGCCCATATAGTTCTCCACCCTCTTCAAATGCATTCTAGCCAAAACAAAGAGTAATTCAGTATTAAACATTCTTCTTATGTCTTATTTTCCTATAATTTTAATTTTCTTTTCTTTTTGTAGGATTTTTTTTTTTATTTCAATGAGAGGCAAAAGAAAATAAAACAAATGGTACATCAACTATTCATATTGAAAGCAGAACATAACATGATCGCACAACTCACTTCTAGATTTGAGAAATTCCACTTGTACTGATAAACATGGTCCAACTGATCCCACTGGCAAAAAAAATAATATAAAAAAATTATAAGCAATAAGAAAAAAACTGCAAGAACTGTCACAACAAATATGAGAAAGCAGTATCAAAGCCAAACCTCCGTCCCAACTGGGAAAACCTGTTGCCATAGGTCTTCCTGCAAAAAGTAGCACAACAGTTAATTACCAATACATGATACAGTGACAACAAAAGATTGTATTGAGCATAAAACAACACTCCCACTTCTATGTCAAATGTAATCATTGAATCATTAAATGAGTTCGGTCCTAGGGAGAAAATAGTTCATGATTGTTAAAACTGTAGCTTCACCAAAGAAAATCAAATATAATTGTCTAACAAAAGTATAAGAAAAGGGGTTGTAAGTTATGCTCCATTTCCTTATTGAGAAACTATAGTAAGTGGGAATTAGGAGTTCCAAAATCAGAAACTTCCACTTCAATGTGGTTAACTAGTAGGCTGTACCAGCTAACATATTGTTTTCTGTTATTGGTATGGTACATACCAACCAATGCATTTCAGTATTACCATTGTGGATTTATCAATATAATTATTATGTATTACTCAAAATTATTAAAATTCATTTAAAATATACATAATATGATATTACCTATGTAACATTTTAGTAAATAAGTAGTGCCACACCAAATTCTTGCCTTATGTTAACTCTATGCCAGCATAAATTTTTTATTAATTTTTCTACCGAGTACCAACGTTTTTGAAAATCCAAAAGGTATAAAAACAATAAATGCCACAAATTAATTATTAGTTTTTATATATCAAATTATGCAAAGACATAACATGTTACACAATCTAAGATAAAACTAAACTCCAAAAGCTAGCTATTGAGATGAGGGTGGTACCCTCATGCTTATATATTGCACATTACTTTTGTATTCGTAAAATATGAGACTTTGCTTGACATACACCCTCATTCGTAGCGTGCTCACTCGGTAGCACCAACCACATGTAGGTGAAGGACACACACCCTACCTATCCATAAATACTTCAACTCTAATACCATGTTAAACTCTAATACTATGTTAAATTGTCTTGGATAGAACTCAATCTCAAAAGCTAACTATTGAGGTGAGGGTGTCCCGCGCTTATATACTACAAATTATTTTTGCACCCAAGCAATGTGCGACTGCACTTCACACATCACAAACAAGTGGGTTTTAAATTGAACATCTTTTCTCTCTATTCGCAACCTTTCCTCTGCTTTTCATTTGTCAGTCTTCCATCCATGGAGTCAAGCTCTCTTGCAATCTTGTGGTTTTTAGTCATGGTGAATCAAACACATTTGAAGTTTTGGAGCATATGAGAAGAAAGTAGGTGAAGGGAGATACATGAAAGAATGTGGCCCACAGCGAGAAAGATTTTTTACACATGTCCTAGTATTTGAGGAATTGAGATGTTGGGATAGTCTAGATCGTGATAAGTACTTGACAGCACATCCAACATGGGAGTAAGAGGATTTATGATATTTTTGCACTTATAACTTGTTTCCCTAATTATATGTATATGTAGTTGAGAGAGGCAGCTCGACTATCCATGTATTTCTCTTGTAACATTAATGAAATGGCTTGCACCGTACAGCCTTAGTTTTGGATTGAACCAAAAAAAAAATTGCATCATTGTATGTGCATGTAATTTCAATTCTTGTTTATTTGCTCTTCTATGTTTTTCCTATTTCACTGATCATGGTTAGCTGTTACAAAATGCTAACATGGGACTCCACATCACCAGAGTAACATCGAGTACATCTTACATAATATACTTCAACAATTATTCAATTTTTCACATTTTGTAGACTAAGCTAAAACAACATAGACTAGGTTTAATCACAAATTCTTTCCCTGAATGTTCTCTTCAAGCAATCAAACACCAAGTTAGCAACTATAATTGATTTCCCATATCATGGAAGCTAAAGCACACAACTAAAAATATCCAATCCCCAAATCTTCTCGCAAAGCAAACATAGTGTTAGTCATGGCATCTCCAATTGTTACTCTACTCGAGACTCAAAACTTAAATTTCACTAAAAAGCCATTAGCATCACTTCCACTGATTTACTCAAGCTTATAAGAAATTTAGTTTTACTCAAAATTTTACCCAAATCAAGGGAGACCCATTTCATTTACTCCAATTTATATCCCATTTCATTTGAGTTTATCCATTGGAGCCCTTGATATCAGGTGAAGATTTTTACTCAAACCTGTGTTGAATTTGTGTAAAAGCATATGTAAAGGTTGGAAAAGAAGTCATATGTTTCACCTGAGTATTCAAATGTAAAATGACATATAGTTGATAACACAAACAAATCACATACAAATCGTAAGCTCAATGCCAACTAGGTAGGTTAGAAAATCCAAAGCTAGAAGAAGCAAATACTACCAAATTACGCTTTTCAGGAAAGAACTGGGGCTCGGATTCAGGCTTGGAAGCCTTGACTCGCTTAGCTCTTCTACCAGCTTTGCTTGACTCCTTGTTGGAGGTTGTTGTTTCCACGTTAGATTTGCTCGCAGTCTCTTCTGTAACCTTAGATTGGCTCGCCTCTTTGCTCGTGGTCTCTTCTGTAGATTTCGGCTCCACCTTTTGGCTGGCCTTTCTCTTCGTATCCTTCCTCATGGTGTAGCTAAATAGTTTGCAGAGAAAATAGGGTTTGTTGTGGTCCGAAATCGAGGAGAGAGAAAATTAACAACAATGGCCAAATTAGAAAGAGAGAGAAAAAGAGATAGACAGATATAGGGTTTTGAAGAGTGAGGGCGTGAATTGAACGCGGGCGATCCAAATTTGAAGAGAGAGAGAGAGATAGAGAGAAAGAAGGGTGTCGAGTGAGGAGAGAGGAGACAGGTGGGAGGTAGGGTTCTAGAGCGAGCGAGCGAGAGAGAGAGAGGCGCGGAGTGAATTTAGTGAGAGGGGAGAGTGAAATATTTCAAATTTGGGCATCAGATAGGGTCCGCCTGCGTACGGAACATGCTGAAAACGGGTTGGATATGTCAGGTATCTTTACGGTCCGGGTTATTCTACCGGGTCCATATCCTCTTCGCGAAATAAGGGGCGTCGGATTCGGACCAAACTTGTTGGTGTAGGCGGATTGAATTAGGTTGGATTAGGCCTCGTTTGGGAATAGGTTAATTTAGTAATTTTTTGACTATTTAGCTAAAACTGTAGGTAAAAAAATTTGTATGTTTGGGATGACTTTTTGGCTAATTACGAAAAGATGTGCAAAAAGTAGAGAGAAAATAGAATCTTTGACTTTTTAGTATGAGTTCTTGGCTTTTTGGCTAATTTAGTAACTTTTTGGCTAATTGGCTAAAAAAATAAGTCCCCAAACGGGGCCTTAATATTCTCATGATTAATAATTCTAGAACTACAAATTCCTTTAGACTATGTATCATATCCTATGTTTAAATTGAGTTAGGATTATAAGGAATGACTAATAGTTTAGAGTTTGGCTTAATCCTCTAATTTATATCTCACTCCCTTCTGTATATGTGAGATACCATATCTAGATGGATTGTCAATCCATGCTTTAATTGTTTAACCAAGTATTGAATTAATAATTTTATTAGGCTATTAGTCCAATTCTAAACTCATATCCATCTAAACAAACATGATCGTATTGTATTGTAAAATATGGTCACGTTTGTTTGGTAGATTAGGTTTAAGGAGATTATTAGTGAGGTAACGATTAGTGAAAATATTATTAATGTGAAAATTATTAGGGAAAATTTATTAGAAAATCATTTTTTGAATGTTTGTGTTCCAACTAGTCTACAAAATATTATTGTATTTTAATAAGTTCTATTATTTGGATATTTGATCTACCAAATTCTAATTCTTATATTCAAGATATTTTATAGACATTTGTGCGGGGAGCAAATATTCAGGCAAGCCCGCACTCCTTTCTTTCAAGCTCCGTTTCTATCCGATCACCTGCGTGCAAAACAGCAGTGAGCTACCCAGCGGTGTGTGGCCGGAAAATCCCTCCGACGATCAAGTTAGCACACACCTGAGGATAGAGAGTGTAAGGAGAGAGTTGAGTGTAAGTATTTCTCTTACCAAATGTTCATCTATCCCAGCATGGGGGGCGCAGACTCGCTTATATACCTTCTACGCCCTAAATCTACTCTCATTCGTCTCTCGACACGTGGTGTTGCTATCCCATCTATCAGCACAAATCTTGCTGAACACCACCTAACCAAACTGCCAGCCCACTCTACTAGGTGCTCGGTAGCCAGGCTGAATATTCTCGGCTATCAACGGCCGTGCTGTGCAGCTGGCCAGAGCGCTCCGCTCGCCGTGCTCAATAAGGACCGAGCTCGTTTGCATCCCGGCATAGCCGAGCTCGGGACAATTCCTACTGGTTTTGCCGCTGACCTTCCTGCCCGGCTAACTCATGAACCATGGAACAACAACGCCATTCCTGGCGCCAGACATCTCACATGTCCGGCCTCTATACCATGCAGCCAAGTAGCTCGGTCTAACTGCGCCTTGCCTTAACCGAGCAAATCCTTTCAGGGCACGGGCTGTGCTACCTCGGCCCAATCTTGTTCGGCCCAAATCTGTTCGGCCATTACCATGGTCCAATCCATATCATAAATTTTCCTCTCAATTGCCCCTTAATTCCGTCCGCACAAGCGTGATTGGGATTACCTATTCTAACCGGGGTAACATTTCCTCGGTCCTCGATTTGTAATACGGTGACTGGGCTAGTTGGCATGCTTGTCTTCAAAACTTGCCCGGTCGATGCCTCGATTCACCATCATGTCTCTTCAATACTGACGTCGCCGTAATAGGGACACGTGTCGTGCGCTGATTGGCCTCGAACGGCCAAACATCACATTCGTTCAGATTTAAATTTTTGGCGGTCTTCCTTCATTATATACGCCATTTCCTTATTCATTTCGTCTTTACTGATTTTCCTTCGTCCTTGCTGATCTAGAGCTTCTGCCCTTCCTTTCTTGCCATTACTGAGTTCGTGTTCGATGAAGTACACTGCTCTCAACTGGTAAGTTTTTCAACCCCTTTTGTTGTTATTTCACTTGGTATTTCGCATATTAGGGCACCAAATCCGCAGGTTTTAGGACATAGGCACCCAAAACCGTCCCTAACCCTTCACTCTTCTTGCTGTTCTTCATTTTCTCTGATGAACACTGAAGATCTGGGGCTGTCACGCCCCAAACTTGCCCCTAAAAGTTTGGGCATGACCTACACAGAAACGGACACATAACCTGGTATACATATCATGTGGGGCCTGAACGGAAGCATTTACCAATATAAATTAACATAAATAAAAGAACTGCATCCATTGAGCGACCACTATCATGCCAGGATCACAGACAGAACATAAGGCAAATAAACATACAGTGACGTGCACCAGAGAGTTAGTTATGTACATATATATATACAGACCCAGCCCTTAGAATTGGGCGTAAAACAACATGGACAGGCAAAGGAATTATATATACATCAACCTTAAGCAAACAATCAGAGTGTAAAATCAAAAGTTTAGCAAAAAGACTGCCTTCACTTAAGTGCCTGGATACTCTAAGGTTGACAAAAGAGGCACGGATGCCACGGGTTAAAACTGACCTCCAGGTGGAGTGCCTACAGAAACAGACATAAGACAAAGTGAGTCAAGCTCAGTGAACAGTAGTACATAAACAATTTAAAGATTAACTTAATTTACTTACAATGTACACATTTCTCTAATTAGATAAGTAAATGCAAAAATCCTGTGGTTAGTCTGATTCTGTACACATTTCAGAACAGTCTTGTCGGTTCATAACTTCATAGGTTGGCCCTTGGCCTGATGGGTTCACACATTAGATGTAGTATGTCAGATACAGTTTGGGGAAGACTACAATTGAAATGCTAGTGTATTAGTGAAAATTTGATAGCATGAAGTGCAAACTGAAGAAAGTTACTTGAATACCGTAGAGACTAAGCAAGCTCATGCTCCTCTGTACCATCAACATCAGAGAAGCTGCCAGCTCGAGAGTGCTCCCGATGTACTCTATAGATGCCTGCAAGTGCATTGAGGAGGTGATCAGTGTTCTATAAACATATCTGAAATAAAATGTGGCAGTGCAAATAGTAAAGTATGGTCCATACCTACGATTAGCCTTGGACTCCAACAAGCTCGTGACCAGTCACTGTAGGCTCAATCGGGACCTACTAAACCTCTCCTGTATGCCGCCAGCATGTCAGCATGGTCGAAAGCTCTGGCCAATCGGTCCTCTGTCTTGTCCAGGAAACCTCTCCAACACGGGCCTTGGTTGCCCTGGTCGCCTTGGTCACTCTAGGTGCCTCTCTTGTAGCAGGAGCTCTCATCTCCTTGCCTCCATGAGCACCATTCAGAGATGGCATAAGATGTGTCTGAATGAAGACTGTGTAGTCGCCATCAACTTTGAAGTAATCTGTATCTAAGCCCACCATAAACTGCATAACGGCATCGACAGATAAGCTGTCTACTGATCGCATGGACTCAAGTGGTACCATCGGAATGATTGGGCCAAGCAGGCCTATGGTCTAGTGCACGAACCGCTTGCTCAGGAACCAGGCCCGGCAGACTGGGCCCTCCAATAGAATCCGGTAGCGTGAAATACCCCAGGCCGCAGCATACTGGTCCCGAATCCCCGCGGCATCGTGGTCTAGAGCTGCCACATGATCTACAAACAAAGGTTATTTGATTGTTAGTTGCTGTTAGTTGCTAAATGTGAATCAGAATAGTTGCAAAGAAAAAATGACTGTGTTTTGGGTTACCTCTCGAGCGGTAATGACGAAAGAAGTTGAAAGACTCACGAGTCCGACGCTGGAGCCTGCTATCGTATCATTGTGAATATGGAAATGCCAATGGGGGCTTCTCTATGGGCTCTAGGGCTAGTGTCGAAAAATAAGCATAGACCCATAGCTGCGGAGAAAATGCAGTGATATGTGATCAATACAGCATGAGCAGATATAGAAAGTGCAAAGTAGAAAGCACAATGTATGAAGCAGATATAGAAAATGCAAAGCAGAAGGCACAGGTGTTGAACAGATATAAAACAGAAAATACAGAACATAAAATCCAAAGTATAAAGAGAAAACTGAGATACGTACCTCCTAGGCTCACCAATAGCCTCTGATCAAGTCTCCCCTCAGGCGGGAGGTCGAGCTTGTGTAGCCATATAGGGTGGCGAGGCCAGCTTCGCCCCAGTCTAATGGGCATGAATTCATTCTGGTGGCAATTGATTACTTTACAAAGTGGGTGGAAGCTCAGTCTTATGCAGTGTTGAAAGCAGCGCATGTGGCTA